ACTTGTATTGTGTGCATCCATAATTTTCAAAGTGCGGTTGATAATGTGTAGGTATCGGTAAAATATTTTAGTCACTAATAAAATATATCATTTCCTAGGAAAAAACAAAGGGATTAGTCATGTGGGAAACAACATGAGTACAACATGAAAGAAAAAAAAGAAGTACAACTTGTATTGCATCAAATTAAACACAATACTTCAACAGAATTTTAGTAATTCAGGGTGATGAGTCAAATTATAAATTTCATTAGGAAAATTGAGAACACTTAAATACTGTGTTAAAGATGCTCAGAAGTCTTGCACCATGGTTGACTAAGGTCCAGTAATATAGTGTTTGGAAGAGTTTTTCCCATTGAAAGTGAGTAATATAATTTTTTTTTATCCAAACATAGACATTTGTATCTATTTGCGATCAGTACATTCAATACTTCAAACGTTGTATGAAAATTGCACGTTCGGTTAATCAACATGCTTAATAAAAAAAAAAAATCAATAGAGACTTCTAGGTAACCTTCTTTTGTGCATACTAAACTATCTATTGACAAGATACAATTAAAGATGAATAGACCAATAGCATATAAAACACAAGGTAAACGTCTTTCTGAGCTAGTGCTTATATACTTGATTCAGTTTGGTAGATTGTGCTTGCCATCTTAAAAGTAAATGGTTTTCTTGGCATGTTTATTCTAAATGCACTGGAACAGAAGCTTAAGGTACAGAGCCATTGGAGAACATGCTTATACCAACCATTTCATTGTGGAGACTATGCCTTAAAAACAAATGGAGTTCTAAATGTGTGTGTGTTTCAGTAAAATTGTCTAGAATGACAGTCAACTTTAGCTGAGATTGTAGAGATGGTGGACTGCCACATTAATCTAATGGTGTGTTTCTTCTACAAGTGGAAGTGAAAAGTGACATTCTTTGGATGAAAGAAGACATTTCTTTGTAAAGATTCTGACAATTACCTTAAATGAAAGTGACCCAACCATTGGAAATCATGACATTCCTGGTTGTCAACATTGTGCAACTTGTCCCAGAGTATTAACTTTTTTTTTACCACGATTGTCTTGGCCTTACTTGCATTCTAGATAATCCTTTAACAAGAACAACCGTTTGTAAGTTTGCAACTTTAACATTGACTGAAAACAAACTATATTGTTATGGGTAACCACATAATATGTAGTGGCTTGGGGGGATTTTTTTTTGTATCAATATCTATAGTTTTTCGCTTTTTATATTTTTGTAAAAATGCGTTCTTTATATGTATGTTCAGTATTACATATTGGTTGGTAAGAGGAGTTGTGGAGGGCTTTCCAAGTTCAAATGTTGGTCAGACACAGGGCCGGCCTTTGGGGTGTGCGAGCTGTGCGGCCGCACAGGGCGCCATGGCAACAGGGGCGCCGGGCGGCCGACACAGCTCGCAGTCGCTCTGTCACTGGCCGGCCCGAGATTGTGTGAGAGCTGAGCCGCGGTCAGTTTCCGGAGCGTGGAGGAGGAGCTTGGGGCGCAGGCGCAGCGTCCAAGTGCTGCACCTTCACAGAGAGCCGCAGAGGGATCCGCTCCATGTGTGAGGGCGGCGACCGGTGCTCTGCAGACAGGGAGGGAGCAGCAGCCTTCAAAGTAAGTACCTTATTTATTTTTAAGCCAAACATCTTTCATTAAATGGGGCAGGGTCTAATTAAGGGGGGCAGGGGACTAGATAAGAGGGCACTGGGTCTAATTAAGGGGGCTGGGGACTAGATAAGGGTGACACTGGGTCTAATTAAGGGGGGCAGGGGACTAGATAAGGGTGGCACTGGGTCTAATTAAGGGGGGCAGGGGACTAGATAAGGGTGGCACTGGGTCTAATTAAGGGGGCAGGGGACTGGATATGGGTGACACTGGGTCTAATTAAGGGGGGCAGGGGACTGGCTATGGGTGACACTGGGTCTAATTAAGGGGGGCAGGGGACTGGGACTGGCTATGGGTGACACTGGGTCTAATTAAGGGGGGCAGGGGACTGGGACTGGCTATGGGTGACACTGGGTCTAATTAAGGGGGGCAGGGGACTGGGACTGGCTATGGGTGACACTGGGTCTAATTAAGGGGGGCAGGGGACTGGGACTGGCTATGGGTGACACTGGGTCTAATTAAGGGGGGCAGGGGACTGGGACTGGCTATGGGTGACACTGGGTCTAATTAAGGGGGGCAGGGGACTGGGACTGGCTATGGGTGACACTGGGTCTAATTAAGGGGGGCAGGGGACTGGGCATGGATGACAGGGTATGATTAAGGGGGGCAGGGGTTTGATTAAGGGAGGCAGGGTCTGATTAAGGGGTGCAAAGGGTTGATGAAGGGGTGCAGCCTGGGGATTGATGAAGGGGACAGGGTCTGATGAATAGAGGCAGTATCTGATGAAGGGGGCAGGGGTTTTATTGAAGAAGTGGCCAAGGGCTTTGGTGAAGGGGGTGGAAGGCATATTGTGTGCCTCAAATTGTCTAGAGGGGGCCAAACAAAGACGTGGGTTTAAGAAATGAGGGAGAGGCTATACATGCTTAGTGTTGTAAAATGGTTAAATATAGTGTACTGACAACATTGCTCTTGTTTCTACAATACATAAACTGACTTTGTGTATTATACTATTAAAGTGGCACTGTCACTGTCTGGGAATTTGCCAAATGCGCAAAGACCCCCGACAGTGACATTGATGCTGATCTATAGTTGATCTATATCTTCACTACTGTGTTAGCATGTGATTTTTATGTTCAGTTGTTCTACACATGTAAAGTTATGTTTCCATGTGTTATTTAATCTATACCTGGAAATACAAGGTTTGGATGTCTTATTCATTTGATGAATACCTGCAATGCTTATTTATTTATCTATACTTTATTTGGCGCAAATGTTGGCGTACTACATTTAGGAAATTCATATTATCTGTACACTGCTGCTGCGAATCTTGTATTTCTTTTGTATCTATACTTAAAAGGGCCTCTCTTTTAAATATATATATTTTTTTATTGTATCGTGTAGCAGCATTATGGGTCCCAAAAAACTGTCAGGTGCTCAGAATCAGAAACGAAGGGCCCTTATGGATTTGGAGGACCAGAAGAGTGCTGGAGTAATCAAAAAATATTTTGGAACACCAACACCTAGTGGTTTACAAACCTCAGAAGAAAAAGATGAAGAAAGCTGCAGTAGCCAAAGTGATGTGCATCTTAAGCTCAGTGAGCCTTCAACATCTAAAACATCTTTGGAAGAGGATTCTAATACACCTTCTGGCTCGGTGGCTGTTGATGAAACAATAAGCACATGTGAAAACTCAAGCTTCACAGATCCCGCTTTGTGGCCAAAATTGATTTCTAAGAATATTGATAGTATTTTAGATGTTGGTCCTGTACAGGTACAAGATGTTGATTTTAAAAAAGATGCTTATAATCGGCACTTTTCTTCAGCTTTCTACAAAAGAAAATTAGACAGTAGTGAAGAACAAACACGGCGATGGTTGGTATACTCCTCATCTGCCAATAAAGTATTCTGTTTCTCTTGTAAATTATTTGATAAGAATCCTAAAACATCGCTTGCCCTTGGAGGATCAGATGACTGGACACATATGTCAAATATTTTGAAATCGCATGAAACCTCCAGTGGTCATTTTACAACCCAGCAGATGTGGACTGAAACACAACTGAGACGGAAATCAAAACACGCGATTGACCAAAACTATCAAAATCTCATGAGAGGTGAAAGGCAACACTGGAGATCTGTGATGGAGAGGTTGTTAAATATTGTCCAGTTTTTAGCAGAGCGTAATCTGGCCTTCAGAGGCTCTTCAGATCGACTTTTTACAACCAATAATGGAAATTTTTTAGGTCTCGTGGAACTATTAGGAAAATATGACAGTGTGATGGCGGAACACTTACGCAGGGTGGTATCAAAAGAAACTGCAGACCACTACTGCGGAAAAACAATTCAAAATGAAATAATAAATCTTATGGCAAAACAGGTAATTGAGGACATTTTACAACGCTGCAGAAATGCAAAATATTTCTCAATTATCCTTGATTGCACTCCAGATATTAGCCATAACGAGCAGATGTCTTTTACAATTCGATTTTTGGAAGACATTTCTGGAAATTTTCAAGTAAAGGAACATTTCCTTGGTTTCAATAAAGTAGAGGATACAACTGGAAAAGGATTAAGTGATTTCCTCCTTGAATTTCTTTCAGGAAAAAATTTGGACATTGATAATTGTCGTGGACAAGGTTATGACAATGGAGCCAATATGGCAGGAAAAAACAACGGAGTTCAGTCCAAAATTTTAAACATAAACCCAAGAGCAGTATTTGTACCGTGTGGCTGTCATTGTCTTAATCTTGTCATTGGAGATGCAGTACGCTCCTGCAAGGAATCGATGCTACTATTTGGGATCATTCAGCGCCTTTATGTTCTATTTTCAGGATCCGTAAAGAGATGGAAAATTTTGTCTGACCACGTTTCTGGCCTCACTTTAAAGCCTTTGTGCACCACGCGGTGGGAATGCCGTATAAATTGTCTAAAACCGCTAAGACATAATCTCAGTGAAATACAAGAAGCACTTATTGTTTTGTCTGATGAAACCCACACTGAACCGAACATTTGTCATGAGGCTAACACACTATCTCAGCAGATTGTGGAGTTCAAATTTATTGTGTCATTGTGTGTTTGGTATGAGATATTGTACCAAGTTAATATTGTGAGCAAAGCTATGCAGAATGAGGCTGCTGACATCATTTTAGTCTCAAACCTTATCCAGAAATGTCACAATTTTTTAATACATTTCAGAGAGTCTGGATTTGAAAGCTCCTTCCAGCTTGCAAAGGAACTAGCAGAAAAAGTGAACGTGGAGCCTGTTTTTAAAAAGCCTACTCGTATCCACAGAAAAAAAGCCTTGTTTGATTACGAAAGCCAAGATGAACCTTTAACCGATCCCACGAAGAAATTTAAGATTGATTTTTTTTTATGTTTTGGTTGATACTGCTGCTAAATCTTTGGAGGAGCGTTTTACTCAAATGGAACAACACAACAAAGTATGGAGATTTCTATACAACATGAGACATCTTCCAGCAAGAGAAAACTTAAGAGACTGTTGCCTGCAGTTACAGAAGGCATTAGAGAAGAGCAGCCAATCGGACATTAATGGTCTAGATCTTTCAGAGGAGCTTTGGCATATTCAAAGCCTACTACCTCAAGATGCCATATACTCAATTTTATAGTGAGAAATGGCCTGACTGACACATTTCCAAACATTTGGATAGCATTTCGGATTCTATTAACAATTCCTGTTTCTGTGGCATCAGGAGAACGCAGCTTTTCCAAGTTAAAACTCATTAAAACATATCTGAGATCATCAATGACTGATGACAGACTATCCTCTTTATCAGTATTATCAATTGAAAGCGATGTTTTGAAGACGTTGGACATGAACAACGTGATTGATGAGTTTGCAAAGACAAAAGCACGTAAAGTTGTATTTTGAGCATCAGATTAATATTACTTGTCAGGAGGTGTAAATTTTGTTTACCAGTGTTCCCAGTTATTATTGCATTTGCACATTATATTATCTCTAAAAAACAATGTTAAAAAGATTGCAGTTAGCAGTTTTTTTCTGCATTTAATATACTTAATATACATTATTGTTACCAGTCAATCCAGTTACTTATTATTGTACTTGTTTGCACTTGCACTTAAATTATCTGTAATTAAAAAACAGTTTGTTACAAAGACTGTTTTCCTCTTTGTGTATGTTTAGGTGAAGGGGGGGGCGCCACAAGATTAGCTCGCACAGGGCGCCTGAACACCTAAGGCCAGCCCTGGTCAGACACCTCACTTACCTTCACCTAACACAAATCTTCATAGATTGTAAACTTGTTTGAACAGGTCTTAGGTATCTCTAAACATTCCCTTTCTGTAATTCTAATCATTTTAGTGCAGAATATGTATATAAATGCTCATTATAATATTGAATTCTAATAACTATGCCCACATCTTCTTCCGTATTCATGTTTTTAACATTCCTTTCCTTGCTGTACAGAATATAAAATGTGTTTGTTTTGTGTGTTTGTTTTGTTTGTTTTAAGATTTTAGATTATGGTGCATCATAGATGTATTATGCACTCATATAAAAAGTACTGTTATGAATCTCTTAATTGGAGAAACACATGCATAACTTGACAAATGTATTTTAGAAATACATACTGTATTTAGTCAGAAGTGGTTTTTTTTATTATTTCTTTTGTAACTGTGTGTGACAATGCTACTACAAAAATAGTAAATGAGTTTTGCTAGTTATTACTTAAGAGCATTTTATTTCTGTGTGCATTTGTCCCTGACCCGAGGCATGTACTCTAAAACAGACACTCACTCTGTGTATTTATGTATCCTTTGTTCCCTGCACGAACTCCCTTTAGTAGTTGCTCTTGGCCAGCAAAGGCTGCTCTTACATTGAAATCACTCAGGAGATGGGCCTAAAGGCTGATGGGTAATTGCGCTTTTAAAATGCCTTTGAAATCACCCTGATTGAACAATTTTGTCATCTCTGTCATTTCCAGGGTCCCAATGATCACACAAAATTATCTACAAGAGAAATATTGTAGGCAAGACCTAAAATGATCTTGCTTTTGGTATAAACCAGTAATTTGTTTCATCATGTACTATTTTTTCTCTTTTCAGTTGTCTGAAAAGTAAATCCATAAAAAACCTTCTAAACATTTTTGGGGGGGGCTGGTGGGGGTGGTGGCGGCTGTAGTTTGTAGTAGACCATATAACAATATCTACTCTTACCATGTGTTATCATACGACTGCAAGCTGCAGTTGAGACAACCTTGCTCTGTTACACTCAAATTCTGTAACACAATCTAAACTTTTGTTATGTCTATTAACTAAAGAAGGGTAAGGGGACACTGACAAGGGTAGCCCAGGACATGGAAAGTACTTATATCTATTATTAATATAACTGGCATTCAGTGGCAGAACTACCATGGTCACAGGGGTCGCAGCTGCAACCGGGCCCGTCACTCCCGGGGGCCTGGTCGCAGGGGTCGGCTGGGCACTGTGGTGCGGCCCTGGCCATGTGGAGCAATTGCTGGGCCTACATTGAAGGGGCTCATCGGGTGTTAGCTCATGGCAATGAATTTCCTGGGGCCGGTCAGCGCTGCAGTGCTTTATGAGTGTGACTGGGCCCCAGTGACGACGTGAAAACGCTGGGAGGAAGTTGTCACTTCCTCCCAGCTAACAGAGCTGACCTGTAGCCACGCGGGAGAAGAACGCCGGGGAGGAGAGGAAGGAGTCAAAGTGGGAGCTCTGACTCCCATAAGCTGGAGGCAGCCACTGGACCCCCAGGAAGTCACCCTCCTGCACCTAAAGGTAGGAAACAGGAGGGTGACTAAAATTTTTAACAGTGTGTGTGTGTGTGTGTGTATCTGTATACCTTATAAATACACCCACACACACACACACAGTCAGACACCCACACACACACAAACAGTCAGACACACACACAGTCAGACACACACACAGTCAGACACACACACAGTCAGACACGGACAGACACAAACACACACAGTCAGACACAAACACACACACACACACAGTCAGACACAAACACACACACACAGTCAGAAACAGACACACACACACACAGTCAGACACAGACACACACACACACACAGTCAGACACACACACACACACAGTCAGACACACACACACACACAGTAAGACACACACACATAGTCAGACACAAACACACACTCACACTTTTTTTTTATCCCCCCCCCCCAGCCTCCTTACCTTTGGGAATGCTGGGGGGGGGGGTTCCTCTTTATCCCTGGGGTCCAGTGGCTGCCGTTCGGGCTGATGGGCGGGCGACTGGCGAGGGAGCTCTTCCTCTGAGCACTCAGCTCAACTCCCTCGCGCGCCGCAGAGTGAGGCTGGGAGCCGGAATATGACGTCATCTTACGGCTCCCAGCCTCACTCTGCGGCGCGCGAGGGAGCTGAGCAGACAGCTCAGAGGAAGAGCTCCCTCGCCAGCCAGGGCCACCTGCCCGCCCGACTGCCCAGCATGTCAGTTAGCCGCGAGGCTAACTAGGCATTTGCCCTGGGCATTTGGGGGCGGCTTTTTTTGCCGCCCCCTGGAAAATGCCGCCCAAGGCAAATGCCTTGTTTGCCTCGCGGCTAATACGCCCCTGGGTGAATGTATGTTTGTGTGTGTGTTTGTCTGTATCTGTTGTGAGCGTAAAAGTGGAATAGTGGTTGATAGAAGATACATCAGGCCTGATTTGCTAAACAGCAATCAGAGAATTTTCAGTTAAATGCCCCAGGGAGAGATGTTAAAGCTTGCAATATGCATAGCTGATGCTCTGCAAAACATGGTATGGGTCCCTGGGGCGGAATATTTGGAGAGCAGGGTGGGCCAATGCTCCAACAGCACTAGTTGCTGTGTAACAGACCAGAATTTGGATCTGACTTAAGAGTTAACTAATTGGAACTCACCTGTAGCTAGTCAATTAGTAGACAGGCCTTTAAAAGAAGAGGGCAGCCTGCTGCAGAGTGAGGGAGAAAAAGACAGCTAGGAGAGCTGAAGGAGAGAGAATGACAATTGTGTTTATTGCAAAGCCATTTCTTTTTTTTGGAAAATTGGTAAGTGGGAAAGCCACCCAATTACAGATAGTAATTCCTGTCTAGTAAGAGCTCAAGTAAGAGCAAGGGATTTTGTTTGTTTTGTTATTATTTAAAGCACCTGTTTTCTTATTGAATAAAAAGGAAAACCAAGCTGAATGTGTCCTGGACTTTGTATACCCTAGAAGGCTGTGGTTACTGCAAGATCTGTGACAATCCTACCTGTAAAAGAGGTGGTTTGTTACGTATGGTGGAGAATGCGGGCAGCCACGTAAGCCTGAGGGTAGAAGTCATTTAAAGCTCAACATGGAGGATGTTATCAAGGCTCTGATCCAATCCAGCAGGAGGCTAACAGGAGAGCTGCAGAAAACAGTGCAGCCCTGCAGCAACTGGTGCTGGCCCAGGCAGAGTGTGCTAAAGTCCTGACCAAAACACAGACGGAGTGCACTGAGTCCTTGGTGAAACAGATTGTTGTGACACAAGCGGAGATGTTTAAAGTAGCACGTGAGGAGCAGCAAAAAGTCACCCAGGGACTACAACAGGAAATCCAAACTAAATGGAGACCCTGATGGAAGATACCAGGGGCCAAAGGTGATTCGGGCGAGCCACTATCTTCAGAAAATGACCGCATCAGATGATGTTGAGGCGTACCTTCTGGCATTTGAGCGCACTGCAGAGAGGAAGGGTTGGCCGGCTGGTGAGTGGGCAAGCATACTGGCACCGTTCCTAAGTGGAGAGCCGCAGAAGGCATATTATGACCTAGAACCAGCCGATGCAAGTAACTACAGCAAATTGAAAGCTGAAATCTTGGCACGACTGGGTGTAACCTCTGCAGTACGTGCCCAAAGGTTCCACTCATGGTCATATTCTTCAGACAAAGCCGCGCGTTCCCAAATGTTTGACCTCATACACCTTGCATGGAAATGGCTACAACCTGAAATCCATTCAGCTAGCCACATTGTGGAAACCTTAGTAATGGACCGTTTTTTGCGTGGTTTACCAGCTGCCCTGCGTCGCTGGGTCAGCCAAAGTGACCCCCATACAGCTGACCAACTGATTGCCTTGGTGGAAAGATATGTGGCTGCAGGAGAACTGCTACGTCCTACTTCACAGGAAAACCCCCGCAATCCTAAGCCCCAAGATTCTGCAAGACCTGGTAAGACTGTTCAAGGTTTAAGGGGAGCTGAAGAGCAGTGGCTCTATACACAAAACACCAGGGGGGCATCCAGGTCTAATAGGCCTGGGAGAGGAACTAATTGGTGGTCAGATTTTACTGTCAAATGTTTCAAGTGCAAAGAGGATGGTCATATGGCCAAAGACTGTCCATTGAAGGATGAACCTATGGAATGCAATATGGGCAAAGATGAGGGAGCACGTTCATTTTTGCTCAACTGTTATGGTACTGTTAACAATGACTATGATAATAACCCTCATAAATGCTGTGTAACTGTGAATGGAAAAATGTCTAAAGCATTATTTGATTCAGGTAGTATGGTTACGTTGGTAGCAGAGTCTATAATACCTTATGTAAAACCTGATCATGTACAGAAAATAGGCATTATCTGTGTTCATGATGATAAA